CTCTCTCTCTCTCTCTCTCTCTCCCTTCATTAATGCACTCTGGGAAGAGCCAGGTTACAAAAGCAACAGACATGGGACAGTGAGGCAGTACGAAACTAGCATTATTTAAAGCATAAAGATAATTTGGATTTAGTGAAACGTTACAAATTTGCATCATTTTTCTATCTCTTCACAAGCTATGCTTCTTTTTATCAAACTTTGTGTTTGGTGGGGCTTGCGAGTTTTTTGGGAAGGAGAAGGGGATTGCTGGGACTTTTTCCTTCTCTGAAACAACGGAGCTATTTTTTGAAGAGCTCAGTAACTCATAAAGTAGCATATAAAATAGAAAGGAGACTCAATATTAAAAAGAGAGAATAAACAAAAGGAAAGCAGCTTGTTTATGCATTGAACGACAAATAAAGGAGGTAGAATTACCATTTTAAGAAATATTTAAATCTAGATTTATTATCATTTTATCCTAGATAATGAAATATATCAGTCAATGATGTAGGAGAAACTTGCACCTTCTAATTCAAGAAGTTTCTACTGTTACTAGCATGGAATTGTCAGGATTGATGAAATATGACCTACTGTCTCAGAAAACCCCTAAGATGAATTTTTAATTTTTCCATGTTTTAAAAGCAGCTATTTTTTGGATGTCTTTAGAAGCCTATTTTTTTTTCTTTTGATTGGGAACAGTACAAGAAAGAAGCAGTTAAAATGAGTGAAAGAATATGCCACAATATGAATTCAAAAGCGTCATTTGAAATTAACCAGGAGTCCCGGCAGACTGATGCTCTCTTTTCACTTGTGGTGACTCCTAAAGAATGCAATTAAAGAGGCCATAGTAAGCTCAGCTGTGTCACAGTACAGTGCTAAGCATTTTGCATCTGTTCCCATAGCAACAACACTGCAGAAACAAGTTGTTCAGGCTACAGTCTCTGTCACATTGGTATGGGGAAGCTCTCCCTGGCAGGCTAATAACTATAACTTTCTAGGTCTCAAAAGGCATTGTTTAGAACTGTGCTACTAAACAATGACATACTTAACAAAGCCTTAAGGTACCAAAGAAGGATGAACCGCAGATGGGATAAACAAAGTTCTATTTGTAAAAATAATTTGGTATTTCTTGTGACATCACTTTAAAGTAAAACAAGATAATTTTGGTAGCTACAGACACAGCAGGGATTTTAAAATACCTTGAAATTCTTATCACCTGGAAAGATGTAAGAAATCATATCCAGTAGAAAATTACTAATCAGGCCCAACTGTGGTTTTGTTAAAATAGCCTTATTACTTACAGCATTGCTAGAACTATTTTTTGGTATGCAGATGAATGTTTATTGGTGATTTCTTTTTAAAGAGTTTAGGGTTTTTGTATTTTATAGGATAAAAGGACATTTTATCCTTTGGACTCATTATGTGAACTGAAGTTCAATCAGATTTTGACATTCTTTCCTCAAAAGAATGCGGTTTATTAACGTCTTATCAAATATTGCTGCTATGTTGTCTTAGAAAGGAAAAGAAAAATTCCTGCGTGAAAAAACAAAAGATAAAGGAAAGAATTATAAAAATATGAAAATATAAGTACCTTCTTCTTCTTTATTTTGCGGAAATTCTTCACATTGAAACTGCAGGGATTAGTTGTTCTACCTAATAGCTCAATAAGATGCACTAAATTAGAATATATTTTCTTTTCTTCTTTGTTCCATAGTAACAAACACAACAGTTAAGGATGAAAACCAGTTTTGGATATAACCTCTAATTTTCACACCTGCATAATATTTTAAATCACTGCTTTTAGGGAAACTTTCTACATTTTTTTGTGTCCAAATTACTTGGTTTTTTGTTTGTTTGGGTTTTTTTTTGTTTTGTTTTGTTTTTTTTTTTGTTTGCTGTTCTTTTAGGTTTGATGATACTCCAGCCAGCTATCTACAAGTGAAGGAAAATTACAGTTGTAATTTCAAAATATTAACTGTATATGTTTTAAAAGGCCTGTCTAGAAACATCCAAAATATTATATAGGAAATTAAACTTTATGTCCAAGGAGGGAGTTGAACTTATCCTGGCAACAAAATGAGGCAGGTCAACTGAAAGGCTTGGCACTTGCTCCATAGGAATTTTCATTAGGGCTACTGCCTCTCTTAAGAAGATTTTTAAAAGTCACAGAGACAGCCAGTTGCCATGAGGACAGACATCTGGGAATTAGAAGTGTGCCTTTCAGTTGTATCTGGGACATATAAAAAAGAAAAGTGTATTTTAGGCATTTTTTTAGTCAGTTCCAACTGGTTGGCATAAGCATGTTTCTCTTTGATCCAACATGTATTGCAAATCCTGCTCATAAGTGCTAAGTCACTCAGAGGCACGTCTTCAGAAAAGGACACTTAATTACAAGCTTCTGCTTAAATTCGGTCAATAATGTGTGGACTTGAAAACCAATGAAGCTTTATGAGTATGCTGTAATTATTATTACTCAGATGATGAATTCTGATGAAATAGGGACACAGCACAAAAACATTTACAAAGAGTTTTTAAAAAAGCTATGTAGAAATTTTCCTACCACTTTAGATTAACTCTGCCTTTCCTTTCTACCATAGCAGACAGGGTTAACTTTAGCCAATTATCCACACAACAAGCACTCACTTTTGACTTTTTGATAAATCCAGATTTGATAGATCCAAACTTTCCAGCTAGTCAGATGGGTACCCTGATGTAGGAGATATGAATACAGGAAAAAAGTTAGTTGCTGCAGTGGGAAGACTGGAAAAAAATCATTGCAAAAACCAATGTTTGAACATCTTAATGTCAAATTCAATCCACAGCTCTGAGGTAAGCCTCTATAAAATAGAGAGGGATGATGAGATTCCTGAGGCAAGGAGCCTGTGCCAGATACTCCAGTGAGCCCTTACCCTGTACATTGTAGCAGACTGTCCTTCGTCCTTGTTTTTGTCCATTGAATCCCCCCATGGTTTGCTGCCCAGATCAGAACTCTTGTCCAGAGTTTATCTCATTTTCTGGAGCTACAGTCTTAATGGGCATGCCAAGTCCAGTTCTTTCTTTTCCTATATTCTGGATTTCTGCTTTTAATAACCCATTTCAACAACTCTGTCCTTCAGAAGGATCCTTTACTCCAAATCATGAAGGAGAGACACAAATATATCTGGCTTATTCCCCACTCCCTGGCTGTGGCTGGTGTTGGCCAAGGCCTTTCCAGTGTAACTCTGCAACATGAAGACCTTGGCAGTGATGATGTGGATTTATGGTAGGGTCAGGCTCCATCCAGGAGGACAGAATCATTAAAGGTTGCATCTAATTACCACCAATGATTCCTGCAATGCAACTTTTCAGAAGACACAAAGCAAAGCAGATTTTCATGACAAGTATAAAAAGCACTCTTCTGAGACAATGCAGCCATTCCTCCATTTCTAAGCCTTATGCCAAACTAAGAGTATTTAAGCCATTAAGGACTAAGGTATCCAGAAATTTTCAACATGCACTACTGTTTGAAATTACTGAGCTGCTCTGGCTAACATAAAAAAAGTAGAACAAAAATAAGTTTGATCTGAGGTAGGCACCACAGACATCAAAAAGAAATCAGTCTAAAAAATACAAATTTTATAAAGTTGCAACATAACAGAAAATGAGGCAGTCCCATGGGCATTTTGACAGAAAAGTATATTGCCTGGCCAGCTCCATATTTTACTTAGAAACAAAGAAAAAAGCCCCAACCGTTTTCTGAGGACTTTGGATCATTTTTAATAACAGATGGAGAAAAGGGAAGAAACAACAGCTGAGAGCAGAAAAAGAAAGAAAAGCACATTTTTTTCCCATAAGAAAAACAAAATACTTCTATTCTGTATTGCAAGTTCATATTCTTAGTGGTTAGTTGCAGGGGAAGCTGTTGATAGAGTCAAGAGGGATTAATGGCAGGAGAAAGCTGAAAGTGTATTCTTTGCCAGACAATACAAGTGGAAGTATTTGGAGAATGAGTGAGTATGATAATGCAACTTATTATGGAGCTTCATTTTCTCTTAGCTCTGGCAGAAAACAGCTGCCTCAGTACTTCACCATTACCTGGGTAGTCAAGGTGAGATGAGATTGAGAAGGCTATATGACTTAGCTTTTCAGCAGCAGTAGTCAAAGTAAAAGGCAAGTAAAGGGCAAGAATTGGACTCAGCATTTTCATTTTCCACATGGGACTTTGTATATTACACTTGCATTTTATATGTTACATGTAATTTTCTGAGCATTTCCCTTCTGGCATTTATGCCACATGAGATGTGGTTAAGTATTTGTTCACTGGAATTAGTGTTATTGCTTTTAAATTATGGTAGATTCTTGCTGACAGGAAGATACATACTTTAACATAAAGAGACCATAGCTAAAAGACAGAGGAAGAGAGGAAGGAGCAGGGGAAAGAAAAGCAGAAACCATAGAGGGAGAGATGAATAGAGGAAAGCTGAGAGGAAGGGACATAACATTTTTGACAACCTTTTATTCCTTGTTTT